ATTCTCAACTCTTTACGTTCATTTATTACATTCCCGACGAAGGTATACATGAAAAATCACTAAGCGCCGCATTTTGACATATTTTTTCGTGCATTTGACCGTTTAGGCGCACACCTTGAGCTAAAAGATGACTTTCCATGTCCGTGTTCTTCTCCATCTCTGAGCGCATATATCTTCCTGAGGAACAGCGCAAGTTCTCTTTCACGCTTTTAAAAACATGAATACATATACTTCTATAAATCAAGCACGTCTCATTTTGCAAAAGTCACGTTACATGATTTTACTGATTTGCACGTGAAATTGGGCTTTTATGGAGGAATGAAAGCGCAGCGCTGGAAAGGGAGCGGAATGGGGCGCAATAATCGTTTTATCTCGATTATTGTATTTTCATAATCGTTGGAGGCCAAAATCAAAATCGAAACAGTTTTTCGATTAATTGCACAGCCCTAGTTCAGTGTTTTTTTTTCTAGGCTTGATTGTGTTTATGGGGTGCAGTCTAACATGTGTTAATGCTTCGTGCATGAGCCACACTGTGCGGGACGGCATCAGGAACACCTGTAACCTTTGGCTGGCCGAAGGGAGCAGATGCTCGGCGCTCCAGAGCTTCGGCGCTACGTATTAGTTAGCGTTTAAAAATGGGGGGGAGGCGGGCAGAGCTGCCCACTGTCTGCTGATTTCAGAGTGCTGCTCTCACATCTGTTGCACCATCTGGATGGGCGAGTTTAGTTTATTTACCTATGTTTCCAGAAACTTGAGGCATGCTGATTGCCAGAACAAAGCGCAGAGAAAACAAAGGGCTTCTTTCTGGCGAGGCTGCACGGCACACATGTTGTCTAAAGAGAAATGGCATCAGAGGCTCAGCAGGAAGCTCTCTGGGCTTATGGAATTAGTCCTTTAATACCGCAGACCACTTCCCTTTCTAAGCATATAATGGCCACTCTCGATAGCTAATTATTTCTGTCCTGTCTCTCTAACTCTAAACGGATTGATTTTAGTAGTTAAGACAGAATCGCCTCTAGATGATACCACTTTTCTTTTTTTTTAACTCTGCCCCGTTTGTTTAGAGTCCAGTTTGTTTCTTTTATCCTGGTTTGTGTGTGGTGTTTTCTCTGTGGCCGGCACATGCCCAGCTAGTTTCAAAGCGCAGCGACGCAGTAGGATTCTTTTAGTGAACTTTTCAACAGCTTCTGAACTTTTTGAACTTCATGAAAACTACATTTAATTAATACTACAATACACATTGCCACTACATTCCTGCATTCTGTCTGCTTCTCCTTTGCTCTTTCTTTTTACAGAATAGCTCAATGTATAGCCTATATACACAAAATATAAAGTGGGATTCCTGACCAAATCCCTGAAAATCTAGAATTTTAAATCCCATTTAAATCTGGAAATAAACAGTTTTTTTTTTAACATCTTCAAACAAAGAAACGTTATGATGTAAAATCAATAATAAATGTCTGGTTCTGCACTATTATATTTTAAGTCAATAATAAAATAAAAAAATGTGTGACAGTGGTCATATGACTCTTTGTACACATGGTCAGATGTTCCTCTATTAAAACACAAGATCACCTCTTTGAATCATCTCAAATCTCAATTTCAGATTTTGACACATGACCCCAAACTTTTGGGCCCAGGAAGAACATTATTTGTTTGTTTGTTGCTTTGTGTTGCTCTACCTGTCTTCTATATTTTAGCACATCTGTGTGTTTGCAGTGTTAATGAGTCAAAGCTTTATCTGTTCACAGTCAGAGAAACAGATGCTCTTCTGAGTGCTCAGAACAGCCTGATCGGGAAACTGAAGGAGGAGTGTCAGATGCTCGGGGCTAAGCTGGAGGAACTGGCCCAGAGCAGAAGGTACAAAGCACTTTCAGATCATGTATACCGTATTCATTTTTTCATTCATTACAAACTCAAACACAATTAAAAAACTGAACCCAATCAAGTTCATGCCAGGTATTAGACCTACATTTACACTTGTGATCAAGGTTTGTATGGTTATGGAAAACCTGGAAATGGCAAATTTGCAAGGTTTAAAATTGTTAGTCTTGCTTGTTTTTGTTTTGCTCAGCTGTGAAATATTTAATCGACTATAAATTGCTATTTGTGAATCATGACTGACAAAGTTCACTAACGAATGAAGTAGTCAGCACAAATAAGTGGAAATTCTTTGGTCAAAAGATGTGGGAACCCTGGCTGTCTTGAGACCAGTATGTGCTGTTTCAAATATCAGAGCTTCTTTGCTCATTACTCTGACGTCTAGCATATCTACAGCTGAACTAAACATAGTGCTCACTGTAACTTGCAGTGAGATCAGTGGAAATCGAGTTTCCATGTTTGAAATGCAGATTGCTTGACATCGTCTTCTCAACTGTTTGATCTTGTTGATGCTTTGTGAATTGTGTATCTTCGCGGAGTCCGACATTCAGCGCGGAGCCACTCGCGGTGTGTTATCCAGAGCGTGGCATCCTTTCCGTGCCATACTGCTCTAGTCTGTGCCCCAGTAAGGGAGCTGTCACTGTACCCTGGCACACGCCAGCCTGTCCTCCTCGCAGGCTTTGCTCTCTGCCCATCACATGTGCCTCTCACCTCAGGCCTCTGGGGTAGTCAGCTGTTAAAACAGTGTAAAGCGCATTACTCACATCGCAGCTTGCAATCTGCCATGGTCAGTCAGCCCAGCTTGGGAAGGTACAGGCCACTGCTGCTCGCCCTCCCCCTTCCGCCCGCACGCTGAACTCAAGAAGACCTCTGAGGAAGATGGATGCGGTGAATCATCTCCACGTATTAGTGACCGTACTGTATTTTCTGCGTTTTTAGTATTGCTGTGGACAGATAAAATCACGCACATGGATCTTTGACAATGCCAGGCAATCTGATATGCTTTACTTTTTAATTTCTCTTACTTTTAGAACTATCACACATGCAGTTTTTATGACCTTATATTGGCTGGGATGGAATATTTGCGTCTTTAAAAATATATGTCATGCCACAGTACTATTTAAGTGAAGCACAAAAGGTGAAGAAAGCTGTATTTGCATAACTTCTGCAAACAAGGTGAATGAAATCAACATAAAAGCTTAAAATAAACGATGGGTAGTCGACACAAGGTATAATGTTCACATTGCCTCCTGTCAGGGTTTATTTCGCGATAATATTTTGTAACTATACATTATTGCATTTATTACAGGGCTACTTGCCAAAAAATGAATAAATAAATAAATTATCATAAAATATTGATGCAAGGTAAATTTATTTTATTATCTTAATTATTTATAAAGACAGTAAGATTTTAAAATGTAGAAAAAGAAATAGTGACCAAAAATATGCACTTTTTTCCCATATACATTTATAGTAAATGTAACCTAAAATGTTGATGTTAAAAAATAATAAATAAGTTCAGGTGCATGTTAATTGTTAACTACTGACATTCTAGTATTATTGCTATCTAGTAGCATTTACATTTTTAATGCAGGCAGGTTTGTGAAAGTCAAACTTTTTTTAATAAACCATTTCTAATAAAACAATTTTTGGGCCGTATTTTTATTATTTTAGTTAGGTTTAGAGTGATGAAAATGTATTTTTAGTTCAATTTTAAATTTTACATTATTAAATTTAAATTGTAATTATTTTTGAAATCTTGATATTTTTTTTTAATTTATTTTTTTTTTTTTCAATTAACGAAATTTTTTTGTTTTTGGTAAAAATAACTCCCTTGGAACAGATATTTAAAACAGAGTCATGTGAACATCCATGAAAAGGAATGGTGTATGGACTGTGTATATCACACACTTTATTATATTATTTATTACAGGATTTATTTCCTTCTACTGATCTCCCTGTCCTGTTGTTTTATATCCGGTGACAGTGTGGCCTTCTGTTCAGTGTTGTGTTTTAAACCTATAGGCAGATGAGCACGCAGCACGCTGGTGACAAGGTTCATTCTGCATAAGACTCGGATGAATGTTGCTCTCGTGTCTGATGCAGCACATACAAGCGAGTTGTGGTGGTGTATTGAATTACTTGTATCTTTAACAGTTTGATCAAACACAACCTATTACGATGTCTGTTGACTTATATGAGCACATTAAACAAGTTTACACATTAAATCAAAGATCCGCTTTTTGGAGCTGATGTCTTCCGTGTAGGCTCTTTAACTTTCGGAGAGCAGGGTGTTTACAGTGCTAATGGAGTTGAGTTGACTTGGCAGGGCTTTACCTGATGGCAGAGTGCTCAGGTGTTACTGGTGCAATGAGAGTGTAGTCTTGTTAAAGAAAGAGCCACACTTTCGTCTCTGCCTAAATAACTGTCGCTGGAGCCATGGCATAGTGGTTAATGCAAGTTCAGATCCGGCTGTGACCCATCCAGTGATCCCAACCCTCCTTCTCTCTACTCTCTGTTGAGAGACAAAAGTGGAAAAACAAACACAGGGTCTCCGCGGGGTCTTAAAAAGTATTAAAAGTTGATAAATCAATTTAGACATTAATGTCACCGTGTTTTTTACATGCTAAGTAGTGATTGTGTTTTTCAGCAATAGTGTGCACCCTTAATTCACAGAGAAGCGAAAGTCGGAAAAATCTGTAGATGGAAAAATCTCCAGACAAGTTCTTTGTGCATTTTTCTTTTTTTCTACTTGTTACTTTGCATAAATAAAATTTTTATATTTGGGACATGGTAATTGTGCTACTTCTTACCTGATCTTACAATCAATATATAGTAAATGTAAGTTAAAGTGTCACCGATGTAACTGGTTAAAACTTGGAGTGGCGATGAGGTCTTAAAATGTATGGAAAGAGTCTTAAAAAAGGTCTTAAAAGGTATTAAATTTAACTCCATGATTCCTGTATATACCCTAAAACATACAAAGACAACAAATGGTTTATGCTGCTTCCTGACAGGCCTTCACACATGCTGCATTTACATATGTGAGGAAATAATAAATTTATCATATTAAAAAATATTAGATCAGCTCATAACTGCCAGTACTTACATATTGTGTATCTGTTTTAGTAAAATATGCTGTTTTGTTTATGCTATGTAGGCTGCTTTGGTAGGTCTAAATGATTTATTATCAGACCAAGCAAGAGTTATTAGTCATTATTATAGTTAAAGTGTCTTTATTTAACACTATCGAAAGGTGGATTATAAAACTTAAGCATGTATGTGTGTGTATAGAGCGGAGATGGAGCAGTTGTCTCTGGAGAAAGAGCACCTGCAGGAGAGCGCTGAGAAACTGCGAGGTCGTTGTGAAGAGATGGAAGAGCAGTGTGTGCAACACGGGAGGATGCACCAGCGCATGAAGCAGAGGTACGCACACCTGCAGCACTGACCTCAAGTCCTGCATCACATGTACACTCCCTATAGGAGCTTGTTTAGTGTATCACACCACGACATCACATTTGCATAATGATGGACTAAAGCTAAAACCAACAACAATTTGGGGTGTGAATCTTTGGGGTGACAGTGAGTCAATTTCACTTAGGATTCACAGAGTTTCAGTTAAGAATTGATTTAGAAGTGTTTTAAAATGCATTGTAGAATTCAGGCTTTGTTCACCCTGCACACAAATCCAATTTGGATTGGTAATTTCACATGTGGTGAAATGTAATACATTTGTTTAGGTTTGTAAATATGAGATTTCATGAAAAAAATATCAGGGTTTTGCTTCCTTAATGAATCTTGAAAAGATTCAGTCATGAAAAAGAATGTCAAACTAGATCAAGGTCAATGAACAAGTGTACAAATAATTAACAAAGCTCTTTGTAAGGTTTGTAACAAAACTTTTTGTAGGGTTTGTAAGATTTATATATAGATTATTTTTAATGTTTTTTAAAGTCTCTTATGCCCACAAAGGCATAATTTGATCAACATTAATTTGATCAAAAATACATTAACAATTTACAATTTAAAATAACTGTTTTTTTTATTTGGATATATTTTAAAATGTAATTTATTACTGTGATGACAAAGCTGAATTTTCTGCATCCTTACTCCAGTCTTCAGTGTCACATGATCCTTCAGAAATCATTCTAATATTATTTATTTAGTCATTTAGCCGACGCTTTTATCCAAAGCGATTTAAAAATGAGGACAATAGAAGCAATCAAAATCAACAAAAGAGCAATGATATGCAAGTGCTATAACAAGTCTCAGTTAGCTTAACACAGTACACGTAGTAAGGTTTTTTATTTTATTTATTATTATATAACAGAGAGGCTCAAAATCACTTTCCAGAATATTCTCGTTCACCATTCCTGGCTGGTGGAATGATCTTCCCACCCCTATCCGAAATGCTGAATCCCTGACAATTTTCAAGCGACAGCTGAAAGCTCATCTCTTTCAACGCTACTTGACTTCATCTTAAATAAAACAAAACAAAAAACTTTGTCTTTCTCTTTATTTATTCCTTCCCTTTCTAGCTTGTACTTATTTGAACAATGCCTAAAACTTGGTATTACAAAGCACTTCTTGTGTCTGTTTGCCTCTTTAAGAAGAATCGCATTATGTATTCCCCAATTGTAAGTCGCTTTGGATAAAAGCGTCTGCAAAATGAGAAAATGTAAATAAAAAGAAAACAGATAGAATAGAAAAAGAATATAGCAAGCTAGTGTTAGAGGCTTTTGTTAATTGTATAATAAATAAAAAGAAAACAGATAGAATACAAAAAGATTAGAAAAGCTATAGAAGTCTAAAAGGGACATGATTTTTTTTATTTTTTATAAATAATAGAATTAGAATAGAGAGTGCTAGAGTTAGAGGGTCAAATAAAGATGGAAGAGATGTGTTTTTAACCGATTCTTGAAGATGGCTAAGGACTCAGTTGCTCGGATTGAGTTGGGCAGGAGGGAACGTTTAATTTAAAAGTCCGTAAAAGTGATTATGGACCTCTTTGGTATGGCACAATAAAGTGACGTTCACTTGCAGAACGCTAGCTTCTATATACTGATTTGCTGCTCAAGAAACATCTCTTATTATTATCAGTTATTTTCAGGATTGATAAACATTTGATATTTTGTAACATTTTAAATGTTTTTACGGTCACATTTGATCAATTTATTGCATCCTCCTTGAATAAAAGTATTACTTTGTTTCAACAAAAAAACCTTACTGACCTCAAACTTTTGAACAGTAGTGTATGTTGTTCTTCAGGAAATACATTTTGTCAGACTAAAATGCTTCTTAATTCAAGAAGCCATTGATTAGATTGATTAACCTCTCAATATGTCTGTATTATTTGGAATCAGATAGTGGGTTTTTTATATCCGATACATGTGAGCATTGCGCTCGTATCACTTCAGACCGCGTGTGTGTGTGTTTCAGGCAGGGGCACATGTGGCCACTGAGTGTAGGGTTGAGGGGCGTCTGGCACACCGCCCGATCCAGCATGTGGGCGAGTGAGTGAGTGTGGGTGTATCCACAGTACCTCCAGCTTGAACCGAGCTTCTGTTGGGTGCACAACATCCTTCTGTTTCCTCCACAACTTTACATATTAGCGAATATCCACCTCCTCGAACCAGAGAGAAGCAGATACAAAGAAAAGTTACGTTTCCACTGCTGCCCGTAATGAAAAGGATGTTGTTTTTAGATGGTTGTGCCGTGTGGGCATGTAAGTGAGCTTTCCTCACATAACTGGAGCTGTTAAAATGGTTCGTCACCTTTGCAATTACGCAACATTTCTCACAAGAGCTCACAGACCGAGCTCAGAGGTGAGATGGAGCGATAAGGGAGAATCTATACGTGTGAAATATTTATAGTTGCGTTTACCATAGAAGAGACATTTTTATTTGAATTATGTACACGCTAGAGAGGATTTTCGCGATAATCTTTTTCGTTGTGCTTTTTATGAACTATTCATAATGGATTTAATATGTTCTAGCTAATCTTTATAGAAGAATTCAATACAAAGCGAAAGTTAGAATGTGCATGATTTCGTGTGCTGGCCAAAATAGAGAAAAATCCATTTGTGAGAGTTTACCGCATCGCACCATTCCTCTCTCTCGCTGTCTACATGCTTTGTTTATTGCGACGCTGAAATACACATTTCTCCTGCTGTTGGTATGTAAGACAGAAGGTGCCGGAGCCAAACTTCAGCCCTCGGCTCTGAGTAAGAGACTGAGAGGTCTGGTCCCTCCCGCGTCTTCAGTGCCCCGGGTGTCTCTGCTCTGTAGGGCACTTCACCCCACCGCCCGTGGGTTAAGGTGTACGCGTTAATAAGTTGGTGCAAATGGCTCCGGCGTACATGCAAATAGCCGGGGCCCCACCTCAGATATTCTTGATCGGGCGCGCAATCTGTGCTGCGAAGAGCTGCAACAGCGTGGCACACATGAAACATTTGGAAAATCAGCTTGATTTATTTTTACCATTCGAGCCAACGCCAAGCAACACAGGGGTTTTCGGCACACAATGTTTCATTCCTGCAAGTTATTTATTTATTTTCCACGTGGTATTCGCATATTTTCTGCCTAGAGATTAGGGCCAGTGATATATGAAAGGCTTGGTGTGTTGGCCAAAGATTGTGCGTAATAGCCTCGGCTTTATAGAGAACATCAATAATACATATGCATATCAATCCTATTTTCGTAAATGCATTCTGGGCATCGTTTTACTGATGTGTAAGATGATTGACATTAGCATGGTAAAAGCCACTTTGGGATGTAGTAATCAGTGTTTTTTTGTTTGTTTGTTTTTTTATATTCCTGACTGATTTCATATTGTCTCATTAATGCACAGTTAAGAGGGCAAATACTCTCTTTAAGGTCAAGTAACAAAAATATGTACATTGTGTTAATGATTCACGTAATTAGAGATTTTCTAAATAATGTAGGAATGCTGTCCTTGTAATTTCTAATATAGAAATGAATTACATTTGAATTGAAATGAGGATAGAATTTTTGTACTGTTAGCGCCAGACATATTCAATATACTTTTATCTTAAAACTTTATTTTATAAGTTCAAATTATTGAATGCACCTAATAAGATATTTGAACCAGACTCTGGTATGTCTTAGGTATTAAATATAGTATTAATGTTGTTATTACTATTCATATAGACTGCAACATGTATTAGTATTGTAATTACTTTGAAACTGTCTGTCCTTTGAAAGCTGATGCATTTGGGCATGACAAATTTTTTTAAATATGCAGCTTTCCCCTGTACATGGGAAAACTTTTAAATAGCAGGATTTTTTTTTTTATTGATTTCTGAGCTTGGAAATAATGAACATTTCTATAACGGATACACATTTTTGTAGTTATGCTGAGACAAAAAACATAAGCCAGAATTGCTCTTATCGAGTAAAACTGTGATAAAATGCTACCGAATCAATATTTTGTTTCTTTTCAATGAATCTATCAGACCGGTTCACAAATCAGTCGGAACGATTCATTACTGAATTAGTCAATCAAAACAGTTTTTTAAAATCTTTATCCTTTGTTCACAAATTACTGGAAAGCTTTTGGAAAAGTCATAGAAATTCGTTGTGAATTTCATTGTGGGAAGACTGAATGGAAAAAGCATAATATAATGCATAACCTGGCTAAATGAATTTCAGAAAGCATTAATAGGTATTTAACATGAAAAGCTTTTTAGGAAAATTACATGTCCTGCTGTGTGGCATGCTATACTCCGATGAGCATTTTGTTAATTCTTTTATAATTATTATGCATGCTGCTTTTACGCCCTTGTATTACTTAAGAGACATGCTCTTGTGCTTTTTAAAATGTATGTCACTGCAGAACCACGTATAGGAACGAGTGAAGATAAAGTTAATTGAAGGCATCTAAAATATCCACTTGTACATTTAAATCAAGTCTCAATGTTGAATAAAAATGTTTATCAACTACCCTGATAGAGAATCATTTTAGGCTGTCTAGAAACAAAACCCAGCTTGATATTTGATTATTTGTCCAAAATTTCATCTGCTCCGAATCCCCGCTCACACAAGCTCCTCAAACGTTCTCTCCTCTCCGCTCAGCCCCGCAAACACACATCTGCCAATGAGCGTCTTTACCAATTATCACTCCCTGTCACCAACACACACAGACAGACGCAAACACGCTCCTGTTCCTTAAAGGAGTGTTGTAGCGTATACGCAGATGTGTGCCTAAATCTACAGGCTTCTGTCAGCCATATGGCGGCATAAAGAAAGATGGTAGCGGCGTGTGGATGTGCGCGGAGGGGAGCGTGGATGGAGAGCCATGTGTAGCGGTAGCTGGAGCGCTGCTGAAAAGGCTGGAGGAGATGGTGCAATGGAACAAATGTCCGCCTGCACTGGGGGCCGAGAACAGCCGCGCTGCTGCCGGGGAGA